AAAACTCTTTTAGAATCTGATGACAACTATGACCCTTCTCATTAGCAAGATGTATATATTGAACATACACATATTTTTGCATGTAATTAATTTTGGGGAGGTCAAACGTTCTTCTCTTCTCCAGCTCACTCATGATCCCTGCTTTGAGAAGCGATAATTTAGATAACACAGTATTTGGCAGTAAATTGGCACAATGGAGAATAAACTGAAGCTAGGACCTATACCTCAGTTATAGTCCCATACCTTCTTCCAACTAGTTTGGTGAACATTTAACTACTCTGGGTTTTGGTTTTCTCATGCTTTCTTTGTACTTTGCAAAGAAACCTCTGTTCTCTACCAAGTAATTTTCTCTGAAGCCTTGTGGTGCTAATTTGATTCTAATCCAAAACCTTATGTGGTGACTACAGCTCTCTGGCATCTCGTTTCCTTTTCCTTGCATGGCACTCTCATTGATATCAAAGAGGACTTCAAATAGATCACCTGGGAAAAGGGAGAGGAGAGACAAGAAGCAGACTGGGGAGAGAAGATTAACACTAACTGTTCAGGTGAACTGACTCTAGTTCATTCGCTTCCCTCTTTGTTTTCTCCTGAACTGACATAAAACAAAAACAAGCAGTTGAAGCCACCACAGGAATGGACTCTGCCATGTATTGGCTGTAGCAATCTTGTTTTTTTTTTTTTTTGCCAGTGTAGTACCAATATAATATTTACCCTTTCATGATACATGCTTATAAAAAAATAGCCTTGTTTTCTAATATGTTTAACTCAAAGCGAATCACCCCAAAGCAATGTTCAAATGTCACCAGACAAGCCAGACATAGAGGATAAGAAGTGGTACTCTCTCTATCCCCACCAATTATCTACATCCCATTTTAAGGTTTATAGTCCAACCCCAATATCTAGGTTTGTACTTTCTTCGCAGTTTCCCACCACATGGTAATCCAGCTTAGTTTTAATGTGACTTCAAAACCTAATAATTTCTTTCTGTGGTAACCCACTGCATTTTTTATATAGTTCTAATCTTGGGCAGAGATATACTTTGGAGGTTTATATCCTGAGCCATAGTGCTACAGTGTGAAGTTGGCCAATCAAATATAATAATGCCTTGAGTTCTTTCTTTTTGTCCCAAGTGCTTCCCAAACACCATCTCAATTCTTACAGTCAACTCGCAATATCACTCAAACTTAAGATTTCCAAGTCAAGATCATGCTTTATCTGATTTGTTTGCTTGTGTGCACCCAATCTTTAGATCAATGTATGGGTAATATTAGGCACTTAAAATTTACTGAATTTAAATGTATTTACTATTGTTATCCCCCACTGTACAGATGAAGAAACAAACATTCACAGAAGTCAAACACTGCTACAAGCTGCAGGGATACTTTAATAGGATCCAAAGGAATAAAGCCATTATGAAGAGGGTACCATTTGTGTTCAAGAGGCTTTGCCTCATACCATACCACACCCCGAAGGTGACTCTCCATTCGACCTGTTCTTATGAGGGACACAGCCAAGGTCTGTTGCTGGGGCTGAAGGAAGGTAGTGTCATAGTCTTAGAATGCCACAAACAATTGGGCAGTGGTTATTCAAAATAAACAGTTTCTCAAAGGTCTTTTTAGAGCAGTAGATTGCACGAATAACTGTGGCCATGGAAGAGGCCTCTAATTATCTCACTTCTAACTGAAAATGGCGAAAGTGGTAGGAGAAGCAAAAGCCACATGAACAAAAACCACAAACTAAACAAAAGCAAAATGAAGATAACCCCTTCCCCAACCAAAATAAAATCCAGCCAATCCATTAATCAAACAAGCAAAAACCAACCCAGCCCCAAACAAACAAACAGAAAAGAGTTATTAGCAGGAACAACAGCCAGAAATTTTCATGAGGGTTTGTTTTCCATTTTCTCTGGAACAAACTGTACTTTTCGCGTGTGGTACTTGTTGGAACATTACTGTATGTCTGAATAATAATGTCCAATTTCAATTATCATTTTCTTTCTTGTAAAGCCCAGTTTTCTTGTAAATTCACATCTTCTGCTGAACTCCACTGAATGACAGAATATCATTCCTCTTACTTTGGCTTTTCTTATTTTTCTTCTGAAGGCCCAAATATCACAGTATATTAGTTGACCAGGAGAAACATTTCTGATGAATGGAACATTTTCTTTGGTAAATGGACACCAAAAACCAACTTAAAACCAACCAAATAAGTTTCTTTGGTAAAGTGGACATTAATGTCTTGGTTGGAATTAATTAAAAAATGAAAAAAGTTGCTGAGGTCATTTCTTCCCTTTTTAGCAAATTAAAAAGCAAAATTTTGTGAAAACTTAAATATTTTGAGTTATTTCTACAATGTTTTCTCTATGGCAGGATTAGAACAATGTTGTCAGAGCGTAATCAGTAATAAATATCAACAAATACAGAATCATTGCTTAACAATAAATAAATCTTGGCATGCAGTCCTCCAATAGAAAAATTCAGTTCACAGTCAGAATTTCAGAAACCTTGATTTCAAGTTCTGAAAACAGAAGTTGACAAGTTTGAAAATGCCCTTCATTTAAAAATACAACATCTCAAGATACACAGAGACTCATGTTGGAAAACTAATATCTGTCATAAAACAAAGTTCCACAGGAAGTCATTCTGGATGACCAAGTTGATGATTAAATTCTCAACAAAATCCATGTAATTGGTGCATGTGTCGTGTCCATTTTGTGAATTCACTAAGCTGAGGTGTTTCACATGGTCGACACGAAATCAATTGTAGATTTAGAACACACTATTCAGAAAACGGTTTAGCAGCATATGATTTAAGAATAAAACAAGTCCCTTCTTCAGTTGTGTTTTATAACTAAGTGCCCAGTTGTAGGCCCATAAGAGAGAAAATTGATTGAAAGAACATCGAAGATGTAAACCTTCCATTTTGTGAAGAATATGCTTGTCTTTAGATGTAAAGCTCCTCATCTTCTTGTTCAGTGAACACCACATTAGTATGACTGATTAGTGTGTCTGCAGGGGAGACTGGGAGTGTGTGTGACGCACTAGCTACAGTCCCCAGCATATTTGTTAGAACTTTATAGACAAAAGCACATGAGAGCAAAAGCACAAATTTTCACTTGGTGTGGTTACATCACAATCATTTGGGCGGTTTTGCTATTTAGGAGAGTAGCCAACCTAAATCCAGTTCCAAACAGAAAAAAAACATGTTTGTTCCATAACCAATGAAGCCTTATGTTCCTACCTTACATATGTATTTGGAAGGGGTAGTAGCTGCCTTATGAGAAAATCTGCAATTTCCCTCCCCTGTCTTAGCCATGCTGAAATGGTGGAACTCTACTAATAGTGCAACCCTAGTAAGTTACTTCATTCTTCAAGGCCTGCTTCCCCTTTGTGGGAATATATATACAAATATATACAATATATTTGCACAGGTCCTGAAAGATAATATGCTTTTTGGAAATGCTCACCATTATAGATGGCAAGGAAGCTACATCTCTAAAAAGGACAGACATTGTAGCTGTTTGCCTCAAATGTAACCCAGGATTTGGCTTCATTTTATGGATTTGAAGAAATACAGGGTCCAAGGCCAGCATACATACCCCTTCAGAGCAAACTGTTTTTGTTTAGATCTATGAATCATTGCCCTTGTAGTTACAACTGTTGCACTATATAAATAATCCGGGCATGTTAATGTACAGAGGGCCCTATGATGAAGTAGAGAGATAGCAAAAAGGCATTTTAGGGGACAGGGAAGGTGATATTCAGCCAGTTTAGCAGGGGAGTTTGGCTGCCATTGTGGATAGGTTTGTACTGGTGTTTGCTGTTATCCAGGGATTTCCACCTATTTTCCTTTGAGCCCTTTATCTCCCAGCGCTTTTATAAATGACTCATTACCCAGGCTTTGACGTACCAAAGATCTTACTCTTCTCCATTAAGTCAAGTGGAAGTCATCTCATAGCAAAGACATTCTGGCACTTTTTGGCCAATGACAATTTTAGTGTTTATTTTCCTTTCCTTAGATACATGGGCAGATGTTGTTTATGGGCACCCATGCAAAAGTGCATATAGGGACAAACCACAAACATCTGTACTAGCCAGCTCTTCCTTTTTTTGTTAATATAGAGATACTCTGTAGGTTCAAATAGATACCTGCTTTTCCTCCAACATGCCAGCCATTTGGACTTGGCTCTGTGACTTTGCACCCTCAGAGGTTCCTGCCAGAAGCTGTAACGTATAAAGTAGATCCATCTGATGACAAAGAACAAGATATTCTAAAATAGATTTGCCCCAATTCTGTAGTGCTGGAGCTGTCATTGCTTCCTGGGTGCATTAAGTAAACCATACAGGTGGTAAGAGTGTTGTCAGTGGAAGAATATGACAAGTTCATTCATGAAAACAAAAACCTGGCCTCACCTAAGTGAATTTCGGGAGACTCCATTTTAATTTGTGGATGATGTTTAGTCTATCACATCTGCTTCAGAGGTCCTGGCTTTCTTTTGCTGATGAAAATTTTTACAGACTCTCCTTGAGTGTTGAGGTGCTAGATGAGACAATGAAGATCTCAAACCTCAGAACCTAGGTCGAATTACAGCTCTGCCGAAGTTGAGGAAGCCTTGTTCTTTTGAACAATGCTTAAGGATATTTTTTGTCATGGCAGCTGACCTTGTAATCAGTTGCATTTTCTTACACCACCAGTAACTTGTGCAGTGGGGTAATATCCTGCTTATTGGTAAGTGTTGCTCTGTTTGATCTTATTTAAAACACTCTGAGTCCTGCGTGTGTGTGCACACACATGTGCGTATAAGTAACTTCTCTTTCATAGCAACCCCTTTACTTTAATGATTTTAAAGATTCCACACCTGATATCCTCATCTTTTACTTTTTTTTCCAGTGCTTGTTTCTTATTCTTTTAGAAACAGAGCAACTTTGACTATGTTTCATCAACATCAGCTTTTTGGTCTTGGTAAGACCTAGGGTGAAAAATATATGAAGCAGATACCATCACACTGTGGTAATCTGGTCAACCACTCGGGTACTATCAATATCCACCATTTCGACACACTCAATTTCCTCCCGGTTTTCAGGATTTTTCTTCTCTTTTTTTTTTTTCTTAGAGGGCGGCAGGAAAGTCAGTATCACAGGTAAAATGGCAAAGCAGTGAAAGAAGGTGACGAAGGCTATTAAAAACAAGCACCTGAACAGTGTACAGGTCAGATTTGAAGGCACAGCTGCGAGAGGAAATAGACCAACAATATAACAGAGGTAACTCTGTAAAATAGCTACCCCATGCACTTCCAGGGCATTTTTTACCCATTTAGTTCTTGTCAAATCCTTGCCCAGAACAAATGTGGATAACAGTGGAGCACAGTTGTCAATTGTGTAGTTAATTCCATAGATTAAGCAGAGCACAGAAATGCAGTCCAGTTCTACTTTCCACAAGGTCATGAAGCCTATCACTCCAAACTCCACAGACACAACAGTTAGAGTGATCCAGACATTGATCAGCGAATTTGCCACCAGGAATGCCGAGAAGAAGAGCAGGAACAAAACACTGATGCAGGAGTTGTGCAGGGGGGCTCCGAGATAGGAGGCATATCGATCTATGAACACAAAAGACGGATTAAAGACAATGAACTTCACCTTGGAGGTGACTGAAAGTCTCCTCAAGGTCTCCAAGAGATCATAGAGTTCTTCTTTGTTTGTTTCCATGGTCTTGGCCACCAAATACATTCTAGAGGCCACTATATCAACCTCATCATTGTACTTTTTTGAGAAGATGATGTCCTCTTGAAAATGTGAATATTGAGGAGATTTCAGGAAGGAATTCCTCAACATGTCTGTGAAATTTTTCTTAGGCAAGTCAGTGGATATATTGAGTTTCCGAAGATAATTTAAGTAGCTTTCAAACCAGGATAGCCGCACAAACCCCTTAGTGAACTCTAGAACATCTTCCTGGACACTAGAGTTCCAATATTCTATGGACTCATATATGTAAAATCCGATAACAGGACTGTAGTTGCTAAAGTACTTTTTCTGGGCAGTAGTGTAGTCAATGGTTTGTGTTGCAGTTGCGACGATGTTACTTAGGTCTGACCCTTCACTGACCTGCAGGTAGCCCATTAAGGCAAAGGAAATATAAATAAGGTAAAAGAGGACTACAAAAGGCTTGACATAGGTGTTGGTTATCCAGTCACAGTAATAGCGCTTGAGGAAACATACCAATAAGTGACTCTCGTAAGTGTTTGCTTCCTCGCCTTCAGCTGTTTCCTCACTGAATCTAGCTGTCAGAAGAAACCTATACCATGCTGGCTTCTCCTGCAACACATCAGGCTTTGGAACTTTTCTACAGCATATACTATGCTGGTAATTGTTTTCTATGTAGCCAGTGAACACAAGGCTGGAACCATAAAATGAGAGTACATAGAGGTAGTTGAAGAGGATTGCAATACAGGAATTGCAGCAGAAAATCCTGGCTGCCTCGATGTTCGTGAAAGGGCTGGCCCCTATGCCAAAGGTGACCAAGTACACGGCAGTGGTGAGAGAGAAGGAGAGCATGGAGTCTGCATAGACTTCTGCAGTTCGCTCTTTAACATGTTGGTCCTCTCTAGTTTTCCTCCACGAGGATAACATTTCAAAAGTCCCATATAATCCATGACCTGAAGAGGCAGAAAAAAAGATCAGAGTAAAAGTTTTAAGGAACAGATCTTTGTAAAGAGGGGTATCAATTTGATCATGGGGGCTTAATGGATCGTAGTAAATATAATCAGTTTTAGTGGTGACAGGTTTGGGAATGCTGGGGACGTTTCCTGTGGCAAGTAGACCTGTGTTTTGCAGAATACGTGTTCATTGATAGTATCTTCTATGATAGCAAGAACAGAGGTCTTCAAGGTTGCCACTAACCTAAGAAAGCTGGATTAATTTTTGCCAGCCAGGATTCTGAGTTGACTTGGGCCTATGCTTTTTAGACGTTATATACATCAGTAGCTTGTGGTGGTCAGTACAATTTGATTGGTGGAACACTCCAAAGAATATTGCAGATACCAATCATTTAGTTTTATGATACAATGGGAGGGGTTAGCACAGAGGAAAGCAGTGGGCAGAGTATTCCCCGTCAGTGTCAATACCTTCTATTAAAATTGGTCAAGCAGAGGGCTTTAGTGATAAAAAAGCATTGTATTTAGTTGAGTAGTAATGGGAAACTAAATCACAGTCTCTTTTTTTCTTCACTAAATATCAGAGCAGAAGCAATAAATCCGAGAAACAGAGGAAAGAAAAATAAGTATAAACAAGTTTGAGTAGAACATACAGAAAGAAGAAAAATAAAGAAAGAAGAACAAGATTCATGTGAACCCTCACTACTACTACTACTAAAAATGACAATAGGATTAAAGGTTTATGACCTCCATTTGTCTTTAGGGTCTTTTTTTTTTCACCAATTCTAGTTGTTCACAGATAACATATCAAATATACAGTGACTCTACCAACTTCTTGATACCATTTGGGCAGTGGTCTTTTGGTAATAACTTCCCTTAACTGCTTAGGGCTCTTGGCTCCCTGTTTAGAATTCCAGCAACGTCAGGGTGGCATAGATACAGTGACTGCCCACGCTGTAATTGCATCCTGTTTCTTGGAAGTTTGAGTATGCCTTCTGTACCTCTCTTAGTTGGAACTGGACACTTCCTCGCTGCACCTCCCTGAATGCCCGAGTCACATTAAAAATCCGGCCCAAATCACCCATCCTGGCTTTGGACAATCTCTGTCTTGGTACTAGGATAGAAGATCTAATTGTCTGTTTCTACACCTTGACAAATTCAGTCCCATTATTGAGGATCATACTTCACTTTGGTGTGATGGACTGGTTTTGAAAAAAAGAAGGAATTTCAAATCTGCAGCCATGTGTGAAGCCAGTCACCATTATCTTGTAGTCAACATAACTGAGCTTATGTCTCACCTTGAACCCAGGCTGGTATTTATATCCTTATTGTACAGTCCTGACCTCAAACACGAGAACCGATTACATAGTAATGATACAGGCCTGTTTCCTCCGAAGGATGTGGCATTCATCTTAATTTATTAGACATCATTTTACAGCTGCTTTTAGAGGTCAGGCCAAGACTTCCGATTTGATTACGAGTACCACGGCCCCTATTAAACTGGAGCACCTAAATTCCCCAGATAGGAAGTGAAAGTGTATTTGTTGACTGGCATTCTGCTGTTAATTATGTTTTAGGCAGTTAACAATGTCTAGTCTAGAGAGGGAAAACTAGCTGTTGAACCTTGTTTCCAGTTTTCTCGGGGTGAACTGACCAAGCTTTTATTAAAAGCAAACTAATCTTTGTGAGTAATAAGAAGACTAATACCTAAGAGACATCCGTGCCCTGGGGAAATAAGACTGACCGGTGGATCTGAGGTCATGAAGAACAAGTAGGTATTCGAAAGTAAACAATACCTCAGGAGTTGCTGCAAAGTGCCAATGCTTTCTAGAGTATTTACTTCCTGCAAACAGAAATACTTCAAAATAAGACTTTAGTAGCCAGCATTTAAGTATGGCAAGAATATAAAGATCATATAGCAGAATTATAGTTAATCATATAGTTGAATTTTAGAGAAAATTCAATGCAAAACTGAATAAGAAATTAAATATAAAAAATAAAATTAGTGGGATATTTTATAATGTTATTATCTGACACTTGGACAATACAATAGGAATCCACTTCTTAGTGTACTGTTGAATAACCATAGGAACTAAATGAGAAAAGAACTTTGAATTAACAGAGCAAAAAGGTGATAATAAGGTTCCAGGATGAAAATAATCACACTCAAGGAAAGAGGAAAATACACAAGTTCTTTTGCTGTCTTTTAAACGCCCATTGTATATAGTTTAATATTTTTCATTGAGTTGTGAGTCTTTTTGCATATGTTTTTGGCTCAAGGGGCACTTCCAAAGAGAAATTTTATTCTCAGGGTCTCTTAGGAGACCCCTCCCCTCTCCTAACTCCCCATCGTTCCTCCTCCTCCTTTTTTCTTGTGTGTGAAGGCCCTCACAGAGGTCAGAGAAGGCAGGGAGAAATAATATATTCCATCTGATCATTCATTTGTTGCTAGTTATCAATGGCCTTTCTGTCACTACTCATGGTAGGCTAGAACCTTGTTTCTCAATCCACACCTGCCAATCAGATTCCTGTACCCTCAACTCCAAATTGTAATTGTATAATATCTTTAAAGAGTCCTTGAATTTCTGGGATAATTGCTGATGCCATAACACTTTTCTACACCCCAGGCAGTCAAGGGTGAGTGGGTGCCAAGAGATTTCCAGGCCCTCTTAGGGATTTGTTAACAGCCTGGAGTGCCTGGTTGGCACTAGACTCAGGTTACAGCTTCATGTTTATGCTTACGAGGTTGGCCTATTATCTTAAAGGAAAGATAAATTGTGGGAACCCTGTTCCCTGGCTTGGACTCAAGGAGAAACACACACTAAGAGCCCATAAAACATCCCCGAAATTCCTTTTATGTTCAGAACTACAGTTGAATTTCCTTTAGTTTTGACATTTAAAGATATAGTTTTAATTACGAACTACTTTGGGACAATGGTCTATGAAAACAGCTTCCCTTAGTTTGGGGAAACTGGGACAGAAAATGAGGCTACCTGAAGAGTAATTAGGAACATTTCACCACACAGTAACATCTTTTCATTCCCCGGTAAGCCAGCCCTGGCTTTCTCTTTTGCTGTTACTCTAACAGTAAAATGGGAAAGTTAGGGATAGAAAAATGTAGAGGGGTAGGTAAGGGGGAAGCTTTTCATAGGATCCTTTTCACTCCACTTTCATCTCACACAGGGTGGGCTCCTTCTTTGACTTGCTTAGAACCTTGAAGGGCAAATCTTGTACTGTCTAAGGACTGAAGACATTTTTCTGAGGTTTGAGTATGATTTTCTTCATTTAAAAAAAAGTTGTTTTTGTTTTTGTTTTTGTTTTTTTTTTTAAATAGAAAACATGTCATTGTTTGCTTTGTGTTTAATTTAAAGTATAGTTTGGAGCTGGCAAGGTAGCTAGTTAGTAATGGTGTCTCCTAGCAAGCCTGATGACCCTCTTTAGGCTCAGGTGGTAGAAAGAGAAAACTGAGTGACACGGGTCGTCTTCAAACTTCCACACGCTTGTTCTAGCTACCTTCAGAGATTATAAACAACTCTGAAGGCCTTGGCTAGATCGAAGAAAAGATCTTGGGTGAAAGCGGGATTTAGTTTTTGAGTATGCCTGGAAGTTACCTTAAATGACTGAAAGATGTGTGTGTGTGTGTGTGTGTGTGTACGTGCATGTGCGTGTGTGTGTGTGTGTGTGTGTGTGTGTGTGTGTGAACTTCCAGGGTTTGGAACTAATGAAGAGAAACAGGAGGACAGATGATAAATAACAGTAATGGTAGAAGAAACTCAGCTAGCTAATCCTCTAGTCACTTAGAATGACTTTCGGGCATACTCACAGATTAAATCTCACTTTCACCTAAACTCTTTTCTGGGGCACAGCCAAAGCTTTCAGGGTTGTTTATAATCTACCAAGAAAGGAATTCACTAGTTAACTCCACCCAGTAGATGTGTTTCTAGAAACCTGTTCTTAAAGTGAATCATGTTTTAAGTTTATTTAATATTATCCTATGAGAGACCTTTGGGGAGATTTGGTTTTGCTTATTTGCTTTTCCAAAGACTAATCATAAGGATTGATCTACTTTGTCCTGCTGGATTTTGTAAGTTTATTTTTCCATAGTCCCAGATTTCCCTATTTTCTTCAGTCCTCACAGACACAGCAGAAGCCTCCGCACGTTTTAATCCCTTCCCTACAGGCAGCATTTCCTCAGCTTGAGTTCCTTGAGGAATAGCTGACATGAGTTACACTGAGATGGCTTACTGGTAGATCATCCTTCAGGATAAAATGAAGTCACTTATAACGCACCTGTGTAGTGCCAAATTTCACATATGTAAACAAAACTAGTACAGTCCTCTCAAAAGTCCACAGATTACAATGGATGGACAAACTCTACTGAAAGCATATTTTATTCTTAGATGACTCTCACTAAGTAGTTTGTGTTTATAAAATGCTTTTCTCACATGGCATCTGCATAAATCCATGATTTTTGTTGTATCAAAAAGAAATCTCAAGCATATGCAGTTTTAGACTGAGTAACACCTATTTTCAGGGAGAAGTTCATTAATGGGGTTACATTTAAACTTGGTCGGTTATAAACATTTACTTTACAATATGAATTGTTTGGCTTATTCCAGCCTGTTCTGTGTCACAGTTAAGAGTAAGAGTAAAAGTGTACTCTACTTAAGTAAAGACAGATGCTTATATCAGGGAGGGATATATGCATCTTAGTCTTTCTACTAGAGACTTGACACATACTGGTTATTCCAATCACAACTTAGGGTTTGAATCTGAGAAATGGTTTTCCTTTGCTAGATAACTGCATATGAAAGTCCCAGAAATTATTTTGCTAATAGATCTTCTTTACTTAAAGATAGAGTATTATATGTAAATATACTAGGGTACTTTGATATTATGTGCAAATATATTATATAAAACCAGTATATATAAGTAAGATATACTATGGACATTATTTTATGTCTTTTCACATGAAGAAGACATATGTAATATATAAACTCAAG